CCACAATAAAGTCTAAATTTTTGAACTTTGGTTTTAATATAGCCACGCCCATTTCTAGAATATTCTTTGATTGAAAAAGTTGTGGAACAAATGTTGTTAACGACGCGATATTCTGCAGAAATCCGCAATAAAATCTGCGTTTTGCTAATTTTGCAATTGCCACGCCCATTTTTAGGGGTTTGTCGCCTTAAAGAAAAATCTTGCCGTACAAATATTATACCTGGATAGGTATTCTATCGGAATCTGCAATAAAATTTAAATACTTGCAAAAACTCGATGTTTAACACCTTACTAAATATATAAGTTTTGGAAAACAAATTACAAAAAATTGTTGATTCTCACAAAATAAACCATCTCGTCATAAAACAAAATATTTTAAGAATAGTTCTTGAAAAACTTCCATTTTTTAATCACGTTTTTTATAGAATTAATAGGGATTAAACAAGGATTACGAAGGTATAATTCTAAATCCCTAATTTACTGGTCTTCACTATGCAAATCAACTTCAAAAAGTTCAACTGTTAATAGCTAAGTTAGCAATCTTGACCATCTTATATATAAAAATGTTAAGCCCGTTTCTTAGCTTTAAAATGACGTTAAGAACCCGAGATATAACGATTTGAAGAAGCACAGGATTAGTCAGAACCACGAAAAAATGCAAACTTTGACAGATCATATCTCCGAAGAAAAAAAAGAAGACAAAAATTCCTCGAACACGTGTTAGCTTTTTCAGGTCTTCTTCTTTTTATTTATTGGCGCTGTAACCGCCTAAGCGATTGTGGCCGAGTCCAAAACAGCACGTCAGTAATTTCTCTTCTGTGTTAACTGACGCCAATTGGAAATGCCAAGTGAAGCCAAGTCCTTCTCCACCTGGTCTGTCCAACGCAGAGGAGGCCTTCCTCTTCCTCTGTTACCAGCATCGCGGCCCGCGTTGAATATTTTCAGAGCAGGAGCGTTTCTGTCCATTCGAACGACATGGCCAAGACAGCGGAGCCGGAGAACCCATAAAAAAATTTGAAGCCAATCGAAAGTGAGACACCAAATTTGGTGTCTGATATGAAAAAGAATGTCTCATATGCGTTTTCAGCGAATTGCATGTATTATTTGCCCTCAAAATCACATTTAGGCAACAATATCATCAGCTGTTTGCTTCAGAACAAAATAAAATGTGCCGAACTGGACGGAGAAACGTACTTCAGCACCCTCTCCGGCAAAAATGCTTCGAGAGCAAATAAAAAGTTGTTCGGACATGAACGGTGAACCCGCCTTTAGTCTATTGAACTCGGTTACTTCAGAATTTCCCTTGTTACCTAGCAATAATTCTACCTCTACCCAAGATATATAATACTAAGATTGCAGCAGTCGTTTACATTCACATGAGCCCTATTCCACGATATCCAAATTGAATGAAAATAAGATTAGAGAGGAAGATAAAAGAAAGAAGACATCGAATGAATATAATGACTGCATTAGGGAACACGTTATAACAGAAAATTCTTCTTTTAAAAAATTTATAAGCAGGGAACGGATTTTATGGAAACTGCCTTTTTTTCTGGTAAAGAGATAGAGTATATTCGATTAAGAATGTCCACGATTTAGCTTTCCCTGATTCCCTATATA